ATGTGCTTCCAGAACTATAGTGTCTTCATTTTCAGGTCTGCAACAGTTGTGACCATGGAGGATCTTGATAGCTTCCTGACTCTCTAAAGGTATTTCACAAACAAAAGTGCTTCCTAAACCCCTTTGCTTGTGAATTAAAGTGACTTTCAGATCTGGGTAAGGGTTTATGATAATAGAGAAAAAAAAGTGAAATAAGTGCTTAAGAACACTGTCCCTTTTCCTTTCACTAATAAAAGAGGGTTCAATTTTGAAACCTGACTCTGCAAAGTCTAACTTGAACGAACAGTTTGTACTGCACAAGAACAGCCGTTTGGTGAACCCTCTGCACCTACATACCTATTGAACTGTTGATCTACTAATATAGAAACATAAAGGGACTTTAAGAGGCAATGCAACTAATCTCTAGTTATTCAGTTAAATGTACAATTACAATGCAATTTACATGTTTTTTGTTCAGCTGGTTCCTCAGCCAGTAATTTTTAATGCAATGGTATACAAAGCTGAAACTGAATGAACTGCAAGCACTCAAACAGTCAATAAGACTGTTAGTCAACTTTCATCATGCTGTCTAGATTACATTATTGTTCAGTCTCATTAATGCTTTATTTATCAAGAAGACTTTAAAAATCACGTAACCACGATGTGAAAGTGCAGTGAAAAAAACAGAAGTTCCAGACAGAAAAAATTGTCATTTGTAGAATTCAGGCAGCTAAATAAAGAAGTTCCTTGGTTTGAATGATGCCATTTAAAATTGCAGATGTGTCAGGAATTGCGTATCACCTTTTGTGAGTATTCAAAACCAAGCATTCCCCTCTCCCCGGTACATGGCCCATCAAGGAATTAGGTCAAGTGCCCCTGTGCCAAAACAGGTGTGCCCAGTTTGGCCAATTTAAGAGGACGGAGCAAAATCTGGAGCTATAAAAAAAATCAAGGTGTCTTTGAGAAAGAGAGGGCTGCAGAGTCACTGTCTAGGAAAAAGCCAGGTGAGCAATGGGGGTGAGTTGTTGGCTGGTGATAGCTGCCTGAGCCAGGAGACAATATGTGACACCTACGAGGAAAACAGGAGAGCAGTAAGAGGGATTTCCAGCTGACCTCCCCAACCCAGGGACAGGAGGATGGAGAGCAGCAGAGGGTCTGCTACTGTCTAAGCCAGAGAGCCAAAGCTGCATGCCAGGAATAAAAGTCAGGGAAACAGGGGCTTACCTGCTGCCATCTCCACACTGGAGAGGTAGACCCAGGGAAACATGAGAGCCAGTGGGAGGGAGGAAAGCTCTCCAGTACGATGATCTCCAAGCCCTGAGATGGGGGAGAGGAGGTCCCCACTGGGAAAAGTGGGTTTTTAAGACTTACAGACACTGGCTATGGGAAATGTCCTTTTGTTGTGGATTATTTAAACTATGTTTTGGTAACACATCAGCCCAAGGGAGGAGTATTAGGCCTCACCTCAAGTGAAATTTCTGGGAACTCAAAAGTGGACTTTGATGTGGCTCTACCACAGCCACCCACAAGAGGGTGCACAAGGCAGGGCTATTCTATGACAAATGTATATTTGGGTTAGAGAGAGACTATAGTCCTTTATACCAGCACTACAAAGTACATTCTTTTCAGGCTATGAATATGTAATGTGTTTCAGTGTAATACATTTTAATGTTCTAAATGAGACTGTGATAATTCAGATGTTTTAGATAGGGCAAAATAGTGTCCAGTGAAGCTTATCGCAAACAATATTTTGTATATTTATAAACTTTTTAAATCAATACAAAAACAAAGGGTCTCTTGCTTCCCAGAAGTTTACATACTGGGAAACTAAACAAAACAGATTATTCAGAACAAAATGTTTCACAACTTTTACAGCTGATCAATCTACACCTAAGACAACTATTTTGTAAAGTCTTTTTACAGGCTACTTGGCCCTACAAAAGAAAGGAAGAATGGTTTTGTGGTTAAGACATTTTACTGGAACTAAGCAACCTAGAGTAATTCCTAACTTTGCCACACCTGCATGACCACAAGCATGTCACTTAAAATATATCTACACTGAAGTTACGGGTGCAGCTGTACCCATTCTGCAGTTGTGCCGTCAGTGTTCCCCTAAAAATGCTGCCCAGCTGATTAGCACAGTGCCTGCAGCTGACAGCATGTTTCTACGGGTGGTGCACATTCACACATGCTTCAGTGTATGTAACAAAATGTATTCCACACACAAATGGAAAAAATTAGAGGGAACATTGCTCTGGGTATATACTTGCTCATGCAGCTTTCACTGCCACATCCTCATTCCTTTTTCTAGTACACTTAAAGCCAATACAGGTACATGTGCTACAAATCACATCCTAGGCTCAACCCATAATTTTTTTGTGACTCCAATCCCCACCTGTAGAGGATACAAAATTTGCATGGATACACAATTTTCATCTGGATTCACAAACATGAGCCATAGACATTCTTAGATGTGGATACCTGTAGATATACTGCGGATATTTACAAAAGTTGCACCCACATCCATATCTACAAAAATGAGCTGTGGGTACCCATGGATATAAAGCCGATATCTGCAGATTTTCAGGGCTCTACCCATCTGTTAAAGGGGATAAATTCCATGCTCCAGAAGGACAGATTAATTAGTTTGAAGCACTCAAACACTGCAGTGATGAGGTGCACACAGGTACCCAGACAGAATACCTCAGGACTGATTGCTTAAGGGCTTAATCCTATAATATGCTAAATGGCCCTGACACTTTTTTTTTTTTTTAAACTTTATCTCGGTAGGTACATAGCTCCCCCTCCATCCCGTCACTGAAGTATCTGAATGCTGATGAATGCGTCTGCACAGCAGTTATTTCGAAATAACTGATGTTATTTCAAAGTAACAATGCAAGTGTCTACACAGCAATTCCTTTATTTTGAAATCATTTCTAAATAACTGACAGCTTATTTCAAAATCTGTAAACATCATTCCACGAGCAATAATGCTTATTCTGAAATAGCTATTTCAGAATAGCAATAGTGTGGACGTTCCACTGCTACTATTTCAAAATAGCTCCTCCCCAGGGCCATTCAAAGTATTTACACCCTCAGTGCCTCCTGGGGCTCTAATTCGACGTAGCATGTTCACATGAGGGAAGTCTGCCTTGGACTAATTTTGAGGCTTCCCTGTACTGTAGATTTATTTCAAAATAAAAGTTATTTCAGAAAAAAAATCCAGAATAGCTTATTTTAAAATAAGCGTGCTATGTAGATGTACCCTTAGATACATTAATTGGTTTATGCTCAGTGCTCACCAGTAGGAAGTAGGGAACTATTACTCAAGTCAGCAGAACTTCAGTATCTTGAAGGATCAGGCCCTAAATGCAGCCACCACTAAGGGTTGGTCTAGCACTTTTGTCAGTGAAAAAACTCCCGACGTACTTTTCACCAACAAAAGTGCCAGCGTGGACAGTGCTACATTGGGGGGGAGACACTCTCGCCAGTACAGAGTGGTTGCACGGGACACCTTATAGTGGCGCAGCTGCAGCAGTATGGTTGTGTTGCTGTAAGGACCATAGTGTAGACATAGCCTAAGTCAAAGGCCAAAGAGGTAAACTGATTCTGGGGGAATTTATACATTTCTCTCTCCAAATATTTCTTTGGCTCCTCTTCTCCTTTTCTTGGCATTGCCAAATATACCGGATACTGCATATCCTCAAAAATAAAGTCCAAGAGCCAGTGCTGGACCTTGAAAAGACACATGCAAACAACTTTTTTGAACCTAAGACAAATGCTAAATAGTCAGCTATTGAATAGTGAATTGAGGAACTTTCTGGAATAATAAATGCAAGAACAACAAAATTATCCAAAATATGCAAATACACTTAAGAGCAGCTTGCCTGGCAAGAAGACAGTATGTATTATGTTCTGAATTATGTAGAGTCCTGAAAAACAAGGCAGGAATTAGGGATGTTAGACATTGTGTAACTGAATAGTCGTGTAACTGCATAAAATATTATCAGTTACACAACTATTTGAGAGTCCCCAGAGGTGTGACCAGCAGCCAGTGCACTCCAGCCCGACTTCCAGGGAGCCCCTTGCCAGTCTGTGCTGCTGCCTATCAGTTTAAAACTCAGCTCCCCTCATGGACCAGAGGCAGCAACATGGGGAGGGAGGGGCAGTTGACACCATGGAGCTGGTGCTGCAGAGAACTGGCTTTTAAGTTGGCTCCCCAAGCACCAGCTCCTCTCTGCCCCTCTCGCTGCCTCTGTATGAGGGTGGTGAGGGGGGGGGGGGGGGGGGGGGAGGAGAGGTGGTTGGGCAAAAGCCGCTACATGCGGGGAGCTATCTTGAAAACTGGCTCTCCACATGTACTGAATCCCGCCTGCCCCCCTCACCAGTAGAGCATGGGGGTGGGGCGGGGAGCCAGATCTGGTGCTTGTGGGGTACCTGCTTAAAGCTAGCTCCTCACAGGTACTGGCTCCCTCTCCCCCACCCCTTGCTGCCTCTGACACAGAGGCAGCAAGGGGTGTGTTTAGTCAATAGGCTTAACTACTAAGCCTAGGTTTATCAGTTAATTGTTTACTTGACTATAGGCTAACATCCCTAGCAGGAATCTAAGTTAATGTTACAGAGGAATTGTGAAAGCCAAGAGACTGAGGCCACATCCACACTACACAGATTATTGGTGCTCCAGAGTTCAGTCTACTGTTGTTTGATTTAGCAGGTCTAGAATAGACCCATAAATCAAACACTGAGGGCAACTCCAGCCAGCATCCAGTATTCCTCTTGTCAGGAGTAAGGGAAGCTGATGAGAGCAATATGATTTAAGATATGTCGACTTGTAATCAATGGAGCTGGAGCTGAGTAACTTGTTTCAACCTTACGCTGTAGTGTAGACCAGGCCTGAAAAATGTGACCGAGATGGACTGTATAGTGAGGTACTATGTCCAGAACAAAACCAGCATTCTTCAAGGTATCACCAGTGCACAGACAAGTCAACATGACAAAACATAAAGATCACACACAAAATATTTGTATATTTCCATATGTATGTGTTTAATAAACAATTATCTTCACTATTTACCTTGAGAAAGCAGACTAAACAACAGTTTTAATCACTATATTCTGTTAATCTAATTCAGTATAGCACACGGAGGTATTTCTAGTGATATATTTTTCCAGTGATATATTTTTTCTATACATGGTATACTAGAATTACCTGAAATCTTTGAGAAACTAGCAAAGACAGGAGTCTGCTTCAATTGTTGGAAAAACTGAAGCCCAAACATCATTAGCAAAAAGCACATTTCAAGAGCATTTTAATGTGTACAATGAGGGTGTAGATGCATAGGTTTTATTTTAAAGAAACAGCCTTTATTTAAAGTACTTTGCTTCGTGGATTTTATAAACGTTATCATTATTTTTTCACAAATGTAAAATATATTATAGTAGTTTATATTTAAAAGGCAATTCCCACTGGCTGATAAATATATATATTTTTAAAAAGTTAATGCACAATAAAGGGACAGCTCATTGAGAGCTAGTTTTTAAACATTCAGTTTTGTCATTCATCTCCTTTCAGCCCAAACTGACATTTTTCACTCAGATTTCCTTTAATGGCAATAAGGGTACTCCAGGAGCTGTAGTTAACACATTGGAGATTAAAGATACTATAACTGCTGCTGCTCCTCATGCTTTCCAACAACCCAAGAGTACAGTTATCAATAATCACAATTGTGAATTAAAACAAAATTTTACATATTTCAAAATATTGTCAATGGATTTCCCTATCTTAAAATGGCTTACATCAACAGTACTTTGAATTATTTCAGCTGTGGGTTGATTAGGTTTCAAGAGTGCAACTCACAAACAACACAACCCATCAAAGGACAGTGATAGCTGATAGATTCATAGTGCAAATGAAAGTGAGAACTGCCCTAATTATTTGACATTTCAAAAATATAAATCAACAAGACAAGTTTCTTATGCTGTACATGCAAAGAGCTATAGCGAGCGTATGAATACGAGGTCGTGACATTCTACACAGTTAGCTGGTACACCAGAATTGAATCTGTTAAAAGACAGGACTCAGTAAACAAAATGTTGCCAAGTTCTGTTGTCACAGCACTTGAACTATGCTCTCATGCTTTGTATTTCTGTTTCCCAGTCTCACTAATCACACAAATATGCTGAAACAAAACAAAAAGTTCACGTTAGAAAACGAACATCTGAGTAAGAAGTTTTAGATATTTATTCAATACATTTCTATTGAGAAAAAAATGAGTGTATCATGTTGCTCATCACTGATTTCATGAGCTGATTTATATAAAATACATTTCAAGTCTATTTTTGTATCAAAATGTCAACTCCCCCATATCCCACCTGATTCCCGCCAAGAGAATTGTGTCATCCAGAGAACAAGAGCAGTTCAGACTTTATTCCAAATTGCATTGCTGTTGGTTAATTGTGAAAAAACTTTGTAAGACCAGAAACCCTCCACTACAGTTGTTACATTATTTCATATCTAGTCAATAAGGAACATGTAAATGTCCTTTCTCCAAAGCTTCTGGTGCTAAACCAATTCACAATCAAACATGAGAGTTGAAAGGTTGCTCTGGTGCTGAATTTCTCAAGCTTTTCCCTGGTCACTACATCACTGACCAAATGATTAGGTTTCTACATGAAAATACAATTTAAATAGGAAAAATCTGAATTTTTTAATTTCTTCCTCCCTAGTTTTGAAAGAGTAAGTAGTACTAAGAAAAAGATTACTTACATTCAAATCTCGGAAGTATTCATTATAATCAAGGGCATAACCCACCACAAACTTGTCTGGTATTTCGAAGCCAACAACTGAAAAGGACCATAATTCATAATTTTGTTATATTTCAGGTACTAGTGTTTGTTTTTTAAAAAGCACTGTCATATTAGCATTTTTAAAAAACCCAGATATCCTTATTTGTTCTCCTCAAGCATTCTAAATGTCTAAATTTACTTTTCACTATCTAGTCCATTTATTTCACTCATCTTGGAAATGAAAACAGACAAGTTAATTTCATCTTCTGTTTTTTATGCAATAGCACAATGGTGCAATGTAAAGCTTATACATGCCTGCTCCAAAGAAAATTATCTGTATTTACATTTTCGAAATTCATTAATGCATTTCTACTAATGTAGGTTTTAAAGATTTTCACACACACTGTCCTGTCTGTGCTAATAATTTATAAAATGGGTTTTAGGTTACACAGTATGCGAGAGAAGCAGATCCTATCAAGGAGTCTGACTTGTGGCTACAAGCACCAAGCAGGAGCTAAGGCAGGGGTGGGCCCTTTCAGCTGCTTCTATTTAAAGTGCTTATGCCTTCCCCGTTACCTGGCAGGCGTGGGGAAGGCACAAGCCCTTTAAATAGAAGCAGCTGAAAGGGCTTGTGCATCTCCAGCTCCCAGGCAACATGCTAGCAGTGCCACAGCTGCAAGCCCTTTTAACTGCTTCTATTTAAAGGGCTTGTGCCTTCCCCATGGCTGCCAGGCAATGCATTGCCTGACAGGCACAGGTAAGGCATGAGCTCTTTAAATAGAAGCAGTTAAAAGGGCTCACAAGTCCTGTCTCCCTGGCAATGTGCTAGCTGCGCCCTATCTGCAAGCCCTTTTAACTGTTTTTATTTAAAGGGCTCATGCCTCCTAGGTGGCTGCCTTGCCTAGCAGGCAACTGGCAGCCCTTTACATCGAAGCAATTGAAACAGCTTGCAGCCCGGCCCCATCGAGCCTGGGACATGTGAGCCCTTTCAACTCCTTCTATTTAAAGGGCTCACACCTTCCAGCCCAGACTTCACCCCTTTTATCTGAGGCCCCACCCTTTCCAGGGTGGCCCGTGACCACTTCAAAAATTTTTGAAGTGGCCCCCACTCAAAAATTATTGCCCACCCCTGAGCTAAGGGATGGTTGGACCTACTTTGCCATTTATGCCTTAAGGCATGGGGTAATTGAATTCTTTTGACCAGCAATGTCTTTTGGAATCTCATGTAAATTGGGCATGTGTGCATTAGAAGTAGAACCTATATAAGCAATCCCTGGAAGAACCAATTGTATTTTGGACATACCTCCTAGACAATGGCCCTTTAACATAATGTGTCAAAATAAGATGTGTTCTGCCAACATGTATGTAAATGCACTAAACATATCAGAGTTCATTGCCCCAAAATCATCAGAAAAAAGTGAACTGGAGACAAACATTCCAAATATTCTTATAGTTGGACTAAAAAAATTCTTTTTACTTTGATAATGTGTTTTTAGTTAATTTTAAAATACTTATTGATAAATGGCCAAAAGGGGTGGGTCACTTACAGTCAGGCCGATATCCCACACTTCGAGGAGTTCTTTTTACCAACAAGCTGTCAATTAAAACCAGTAGAAATTTGAAAATGGAAATCAGCAGCTAGAAGATGATCAAAGAAACTAGACAGAGAATTAATTACTAAAATCACTGACACTGAATGGGTGTAACAAAGCAGAATTTCATCAATTAAATATATCCCATATTTGCAGCTCACGGCAATCACACTGATTTAATCCAGACTTCTGGTTGAATCGCAGTTGACAGCCTAGCTAAAAGAGTACGGGTGTGTCTAGACTATACCTATCTGTCAACAGAGAGATGTAGATTAGGCACATTGAAATTGCTAATGAAGCAGGGATTTAAATATCCCGTTCTTCATTAGCATAAACATGGCTGCCGCTTTTTTTTTTTTGAAACTGAGTAGAAAGCCTAGACCCGGATCTGTCAAAAATAAACCCTTTTTCGACAGATCCTGTAAACGTCATTTTTTGAGGAATACAGGATCTGTCAAAAAAGGGTTTATTTTCGACAGAGTTGCGTCTAGACTGCCATTTTTTCCCCCGAAAAAAGCGGTGGCCATGTTTATGCTAATTAAGCACAGGATATTTAAATCCCTGCTTCATTACCAATTTCAATGTGCTTGATTTGCATCCCTCTTTCAACAGAGGGATGCAGTCTAGACGTAACCCCCGAGTCAAACATGCGTCTGAGGCCGAGAGTAGAAAAATCAGCCAGGAATCATGGTAAAATTCAGTTCTGAAAAGTGATTCTGTAAACTGGCATAAAAAGGCTCCATGTTCATTATGTCTAAAAACCTTCAGATACAGTACTCTGTTCACAAGACAAGAGACAGCTTTTCTAGTTATCACACCTGCAAATTCAGCCTGTGAGCTGAGAGCCAAATTGGTTTCCTTCCTTCTTATGCACCATCACCAGTTCTGCTGAACTGCATCCACCTTTACACCTTTGCAACAGTATGTCTTCAACAGGGTTGCAGAGGTTCTCCTGATTATCCAGCTTCCCTTTCTCAGCTGTGTCGAGTCTGCAGAGCTAATAGTAATAGAAAAGAACCTACTTTTTGTCACTAAAGTTCAGCAGATGTAACAGAATACAAACAAGGAGCAGATTTACCAAGTTAAAACAGTGCCGTTTTTACCGTCACTTTTCAGAACAAAACTGTATTTTACAGGAAGCAAAAGAGATCAAAGAAAATGTTCTCATACTTTTGGCTGATCACCAAATATTGAGGTACCATTTCAATGACTCAAGGCAGTCAATGGACACTCCTATACCCACATAAAAGGTCACTGTAGTGTCTGGTATCTTATTTGGCTGTCATTGTTTGGGGAAGGCTCGTAGGAAAAAAAAAGAAGTTCCCCTGTACACTGAACACTGGAGACAGCTCAAACTAGTCATGCATTCCATAGGTGTCACCTACTCAAGGGAAAAGGCCCTCTGAAAAGAGAGGCAGAGGAAGAGGTCCTACTAACCCCCCACTGCGTCATGGTTTTGGTCCTTTTCTCATGAATGCTTGCCCTCTGGTAAACTTTTCACAAGTCTTCTCTCTGTATTCCCCCTCCCTTTCCCTGCCTGCAAGATAGCCACATCCCTTACAGGTGGAAGAGGGTCTGCCACTGCCTATCAACATGACACTAAATTCCTTCGTATTTCTGAAAACTTGTCAACAAAGTCTGAAAGGGGACATGTGAGGTTTATGGAAATTTTGGCTGAACGCCTTAATTTTGGGGGGCTGCTACCAGTTTGGGATTTGACCAAAGAACCTCAAATCCATATTGGGATGTGCTGGAACACCTGCACAACAGCTATATCACACAGCTATGGAAAACACATAAACAGGCCAGTTTTCACGGGAATAAAAATGTAAAATATCTTCACCTTTATAATAAACAGACCCTGTATCAGAGAAAGTGTGTCCATGTACAATGCTATCAAAGGTGCTTTCATCTTTGAGTCATGAGGGGGGGGGGGAAATTCCTTTAAAATATAAAAGGATTCTATAATCCTATTTAACTATTTTTATAGTCCTTAAAAATAATATACAATACAAACAGTTGTAATCACAACTCACCTGGCTACTTTCACCATGTTTGGATTGTACTGTTTAACCAGAGACAGCAATGTTTTCATTGTTTTACCAGTATCAATTATATCCTGATGATAAAAAAACCACATCAGAAAACTAAAAAAAGCCATTAAATTAACACTTTCAGATTCTAATCAAAGAGCCAATGTTGTACTGAGTTGTGATAACTTGTGAAGCGGAAATTAGGCTTTTCATACACACAAGCAAATATTGGTGTTATTCCACTGATGTGGCCGTACTTTATGTGTAAGGATTAATTTCTAACAGCTATGGTCATATTAATAACCACTGCAATTAAAGCATTAAAGAGTGATTTTGATGCTTCAGTGGTAATTTCCTAATTTGGGCTGAATTAACACAAAGCTTTCAGGGGACCCTACTTCCAGCTGGGCTGCAGTCTGGTATACATGAAGTAAAGAAGTAGATGGCATTGAAATGCAAAATTAATGGTGGTACCTCATCGTTATATGCTCCTCCCCACCCCCCGGAACATCCCAAAGCAGCAGTTCTCAACCTGCTCCCTCTACACCCAGAGGCCAAGAGTAGGTTTCTAAGGTCCTGCAAGCACAGCCAGTGTTAGCCTTGCTAGGCCCTAGGCAAAAGGCCAAAGCCCCTTGAATGGGGCTGAATCCCAGAGCCCTCTGTCTTAGCCAGATACCCTACCCACAATGTGCTCCTGCTCCCGCCTCCTGAAGTGCTCATATGGTGCCAGGTCCCCCAAGCCCTGGCCCAGGCTGGGTGGAGGATGCAACCGGGTGAAACACTGAAAATTTATTCATTTTTCATTCTTTTTTTTTAATATGTGTTTCTATTTTTGGGCTGCAAAAGACAGTACTGAAAAAAAACGGGTTCCAACTAAAGTAAAAAGTTTGGGAAACCCTGATCTAGCCAGCTTTCTATCCGTCTTACAGTCCATTTATCCAATCCATATTCCTTTAACTTGCTGGCAAGAATATTGTGGGTGACTGTATTAAAAGCTTTGCTAACGCTGTCACTGAGGGCTTTGGGAGGACCAGAAACAACTTATTTGAATATTCATAATTTCCTTATTGAATATGCAAATATGCAAATGAATGTTACCGGTCCTCCAAAAGCTCGTGAATGGATTTACTGGTCCCAGTGTCAAAAAGTTTGGGAACCCCTGCTTCAGGGCACTTTCCCTCCCTCCGGAAATGTCTTTTATGCGAGTGCTGGGTTCTGCTGGGTCCAGCGGCCCCAAGTGGTGTCCATCAGAATTGCAGTCTATTTCTGGGAAGTAGGAGGATGGAGAGGAAATTCTGTACACACAACATTAATGTCTGAACAATTCTGCATTGCACGATGACCCAGAATTTTCCCAAGAGAAAATATTGACTGCATAGCTTAATTCTCCATCCATGAAGGATGGAAGATATCACTGAAAGAACTGATTTATCTTAACAGCTAGGAAATCAGATTAAATCATATTCTGTATATTAAATGTCCAAAGGCTGCATTATGAGCCACAGTGGTAGGAGAGACTCTTATATGACAAAACTGTATTTATCTTTTATATTTAATACACAAATAAGTATGGAAACATCAGGTATTGCTGAGTTTTGTATATATTTTCAGATACTCCTATTGATCTTTTCCTATAACAATTGCAGTTTAAATTCTTGTCTGTTCATTAAAGAGATACTTAGTTTCACTTTCTTCAAGTTCCTTTATTATATAAACCTGTGTAATTAAATAGGGTCCCAGAAAACAAAGTAACAACTGCAAAATTTTGACCTGGACATTCTGTTCCTACAGCTAAGTAAAATGAGATAGGCCAACCTGAGAATTCAGATATGGTCTTCACACACTCCTAAATTGGAAGGCATGTGGGTAAAGTCATTATAAAAAATTAGGGACCATTTGCAAAATCCAGGCCTAGACTCAGGTTTCACAGCTCACTGAAATATATATAGATGTCAGATTCAGGACCATCTCCTGTTAGGACATTATCACAAATCACACATTATAGAACCCAAAGGAAACATAATACTTACTTCTACAATCAAGACGTTCTATTGAGGAAAAAGAATTAAAAAATTCCATAAGTATTTAGCTGGAGAGTATGTTGATTCCATTAGCAGTTTTCCGTTAAATTATTTATATTATCAATGCAATGAAATATGCTTATGTCATCATTTACATAATTTCACATTCTAAAAAGCTGAAAACTATTGAAAAAAAACCCTGTAAAATTATTAGACCCAATTCAAGCATTGCAAATTCTATTTCATTAACTTTTATGAAGTGCTGGCAAGAAGATCTCATTGAGGTCCATTTGGCACATGCTGAATACTAACTGGTCTGTAGATTTCTTTAGACTGAAAAACAGCATTATAAATATGCAAAAATAGATCAAAATATAAGAGCCTACTCATTTTTGCATGCTTTTAATGAAACAGTCATGATTAAAATGGCATTACTCTTGTTAAGGATATATGATTCTAGCATTATCATCTCCTCTGTTTTAAAACTTGGCACACATTTTCATTTAACACACATGCCTTGAAGACTGATTTTGGTTCTATGTCTAGATATAGGGCAGGGATGGGGAAGTCTGGCTTGTGGGCCGCACTTCCAATGGCTGCAGGTCACCGTTCTTAGCCATCGGGAAGTGCAGGAAGCAGTGCAGGCCAACCCACTGCTCCCATGGGCCAGGAACAGCAAACCGTGGCCCGTGGGAGCTGCACGTCTCTGTGCCTGTGGACACTCAGGTAAACAAACTGTCTGGTGGCCTGCCAGCAGCTAACTCTGACAAATCGCATGCAGCCCACAGCCCAGACGTTCCCCACCCTGATGTAGGGGGAAAAATGTATTTTGACATTCAGAATATTTTAATCTTTTTGGCATTCCACTAATTTGCCAATTCATTTTTAAATATGAATTTTTGCAGATGATTAATCCATATAGCTTTTGAGTACTAAAAACACTTCAAAAGACTTCTATTGCAAGCATGGAATAACTGCTATGTACAGGCAGTCCCCGAGTTACGCGGATCCGACTTATGTCGGATCCGCAGTTACAAACGGGGATTTCTCGCCCCGGAGAACTAGAGCAGCGGGACGCCTAGTCCCGCCGCCCGCCTTCTCCGGGGCGAGAAAAGCTGCTCCCCATCTCCCTGGTCTGCTGGCGGAGCCAGCAGACCAGGGAGACGGGAGCAAAGCGGCGGAGCACCCGGGGCCGGACCCGCGCCGCTTCCAGATCAGCTGGAAGCGCCACGGTTCGGCCCGGGTCCTCCGGAGCCTTGCTCCACGTCTCC